ACCAACCATCACCTTCTCCTCACCCCTCTCTATCACCCCTTCACTTCTTTGCAATCGTGTTTCGTCTCACTGTGCTCTAAGTCATCGGAATCCAATCCTCCACTGGCAATACCTACCTACCTACCTACTATTTACCTACCTACCAATTTACGCACACCACATCGTCACCCTACCGTCCTAATCTATTACTATCTTCGATCACCACCCCCTGATCACCCCTAACCCGAATCACCCCCACCCGTCACCATCGCCACCCTACACTCCTCGCTGCACTCGCTGTGTCCGTTCGCCGTTTGCGCCGTCGGAGGCCACATCCCTGCTGGAGCCGCCCCCAAGCTGGAAACATCGGATTCAGAAGCGAACCGGCGACCGAGTCTTCTCGCAAATGTGATGGGCTGCTTCGGTGGCTCCAGCTCGAAAAACGATGCCGAAGAAGACAAGAAGCGGAAGGAGGCCAACAAGCGCATCGAGAAGCAGATTCAAAAGGACAAGCAGATCTACCGGGCCACCCATCGGCTTCTCCTCCTTGGTGAGGACTTTTAGAGACTTTTTTTAGAAAAAACCGTGTTTCTAACTGTTCCTTTTTCTAGGCGCCGGTGAGTCCGGGAAGAGTACCATCGTCAAGCAGATGAGGATATTGCACGTCAATGGCTTCAGTGAAGAGTAAGCGTGACTGTTGTTGTTTTGCCTTTTGTTTGTTTACTTACCCAATTTTTTTCGATTCAGTGAAAAACGGCAAAAGATTGACGACATTAAGAAGAACATCCGAGATGCCATCTTGGTAAGCAAATGGATTTCTCAAACTCTTGTTCTTTTTGCTAATATTTTCTTATTACCACTCACAGACGATAACCGGCGCCATGAGCACCCTAGTGCCGCCCGTACAGCTGGAGAAGGTGGAGAACCAGGAGAAGGTGGACTACNTTGGTAAGCAAATGGATTTCTCAAACTCTTGTTCTTTTTGCTAATATTTTCTTATTACCACTCACAGACGATAACCGGCGCCATGAGCACCCTAGTGCCGCCCGTACAGCTGGAGAAGGTGGAGAACCAGGAGAAGGTGGACTACATCCAAGATGTGGCCAGCAGTCCTGACTTTGACTATCCAGCGGTAGGTGCTCATCATCAAACGCTATCAACCTCAAATGGCATAACAACAACAACAACAAACATTGCCTTTTATCTTTTTTNCATCCAAGATGTGGCCAGCAGTCCTGACTTTGACTATCCAGCGGTAGGTGGCCATCAAAAGCTATCAACCTCAAATGGCATAACAACAACAACAACAAACGTTGCCTTTTATTTTTTGTTGTAGATTTTCTACGAGTCCACGGAAGAGCTGTGGAGGGACAGAGGCGTCCAGGCGGCCTTTGAACGGTCCAATGAGTACCAGCTGATAGACTGTGCAAAATAGTAAGTGTAAACAAAAGTTTTTGATTACTAATTCTAACTGTTTCTTTCTTTCAATCTCGCAGTTTTTTAGACCGAGTCCACATTGTGAAGCTGCCCGACTACACGCCCTCCGAGCAGGACATCCTCAGATGTCGTGTGCTCACCTCGGGCATCTTCGAGACGAAGTTTCAAGTGGAGAAGGTTAACTTCCAGTGCGTATTCAGATTGTGATGTTTTGGAGGTTGATTTTAAACTCATCCCTAATCAATTCCGCTTCTTAATCATTTTACAGTATGTTCGACGTCGGTGGGCAACGCGACGAGCGCCGCAAGTGGATTCAATGTTTCAACGATGTCACTGCCATTATCTTCGTGACTGCCTGCAGCAGTTACAACATGGTGCTCAGAGAGGACCCCAACCAGAACAGGTTACGAGAGTCACTCGACCTCTTCAAGAGCATCTGGAATAACAGGTGAGTGACATTTCACTTCTGCCATTGAATATATACCTCATTTATTGGTTTCTCATTGGTCTCTCTGCTATTTGCACAGATGGTTGAGGACGATTTCGGTGATTCTCTTCCTCAACAAGCAGGACCTGCTGGCGGAGAAGGTAAAGGCGGGCAAGTCGAAGATTGAAGACTACTTTCCAGAGTTCTCGCACTACCAGACACCACCAGATGGTAACATTTTTGGAAGGATTTTGTGTTTGGGACTTGCTCATCATTTTCTCTTTGTTACCTTCTGTTTCAGCCGTCTTCGATCCTGGTGAATCTCCCGAGTTTATTAGGGCCAAATACTTTATTCGGGACGAATTTTTGGT